TGCTCCATGCTGGCACGGCACTTGCAGACACACAGTGTCGAACGCCCCCACGCCTGCCCTGACTGCCCCCGCCGCTTCCGCCAGCGAGCCCACCTGCTCCGGCACCGGCTAGTGCACACAGGTGAACGCCCCTTCCCTTGTCCGGTCTGCAGCAAAGCCTTTGCCCTGAGTGCCACGTTGCTGCGGCACCAGCTGGTGCACACGGGCGGGCGCCACTACCGCTGTGGGGAGTGCGGCCGCAGCTATACACAGAGCTCCTACCTGCGCCATCACCAGCGCAGTGCCCACGCTGGCCAGTTCCCCCACACCTGCCCAGACTGCGGCCGTGCCTTTGCTGACCGGGCCAACCTCCTGCGGCACTAGCGGGGCCACACAGGCGCCCGACCCCACACCTGTGCTGAGTGTGGGCAGTGCTTTGCCCAGCTGGCACACCTACGGGAGCACGGGCGCACACACAGCGGGGAGCAGCCATTCCACTGCAGCTGGTGTGGCCAAGCCTTTGGGCACCGCTCAGCCCTGGCTGTGCAGCAGCGCGCACACAGTGGAGAGCTCTCCTACCCCTGTGCCCAGTGTGGGTGCCCCTTTGCCCAGTTTGCCAGTCTGGTGGAGCACCGCCGGCGGCACACGGGTGAGAAATCTCACCAGTGCCCCCATTGCGGGCACCGCTTCTGCCACCGCTCAGCCCTGCTTCGCCACCAGCGCTCCCATGCCGGGGAGCGCCCCTTCCGCTGCAGGCAGTGCGGTCGTGGCTACACCCGCAGCTCCAACCTCCTGCTGCAGCAGCGGGTGCATGCTGCTGAGTGACATCCCAGCCCCCAGGACATCACCGGCATCTGGTGACTCCCACACCCCTCATGCTGGGATGGTCCTGGACTGGCCCTGACCAGAGTCCACACTGTTGCATGGCCACTCCCCTGCCCACTGCCCAGGAATGGGGGTGGCTGGGCCAGGCCTGTGTTGCCTGGCCAGGTTCTGAGTGTGAGTGAAGCTGCTGCCACCAGTCATGGTTTCTCCAGCCCCAGGTAGCAAACATAGGGGCAGAGCTTCCTGCCAGGTGGGGCCCTGCTCAGGGGTGGGGCTCAGGGAATGGGGGCTGTGCCCAGGCAGTGTCTGACCCCATTTTTCTCCCCTTTTGCTGGTTGGTGCTGCCTGGGCTGCTGCTCCAACACCCTGGGCCCTGCCGTGTGGCCCAGCCAAGCGAAAACCCGCCCTGCAGCTGCCCAGATGTGTGGCGGGGCGGGGGGGGGGACAGAAGCAGGGGGATGCCAGTACTCAATGCAGGCTTGTGGGAAACCGG